ACAATGTGCAATAGAGGGTCTGCTGTACCGTACAGCAGGTTTATGAGAAAGGTGCATCACACCATATTTGTTGGTGGTTTATGAGAAAGGTGTATCACACCACATTTGTTGGTGATTTGTGAGAAAGGTGCATCACACCACATTTGTTGATGGTTTATGAGAAAGGTGCATCACACCACATTTGTTGGTGGTTTATGAGAAAGGTGCATCACACCACATTTGTTAAAGGTTTATGAGAAAGGTGCATCACACCACATTTGTTGAAGGTTTATGAGAAAGGTGTTACCTTTAACATCATTTCCATAGTGAAAACTCCAGTGAAGGCGTAATCAAAGTAGTTGAGGATCCGGTTCTTCTCCGAGTCCTCCACAACTGGATCTTCTGCCGCTAAGGCAATGCTGCTCAGTGAGATGACGATCATGATGAAGAGGTCGAAATAACGAAGATTAACGATATAGTGGGCGGTGCGGCGAATGCTAGAAATTTATTTTAAAAACATTAATCCAATCATAAAACTATTTAATGACAGATATATCTATAAAGAAAATCAAAGCACGGGTATATAATGCAACCAAAGCCACATAGGTATTAATTTTACAAAATATATCAAAGTATTGAGTAATAACAAACAGATGTTGGATCACTAATACAATTAGAAGTGACTAATATGTCAGGATATTAAAATTACTTTATGATAATGTACCTTGTTAGTGTAATAGTTCTTGATATCAAAGTTATATCATGATAGTACAATAGATCAGGAACAATTTTAGTAGACCAGAATATTAAAAGGTTGATCATGTAAAACATGACATCTAAAGTTTTAGTTGACCAGGATATTAAAAGGTTGATCATGTAAAACATGACATCTAAAGTTTTAGTAGACCAGGATATTAAAAGGTTCATCATGTAAAACATGACATCTAAAGTTTTAGTAGACCAGGATATTAAAAGGTTGATCATGTAAAACATGACATCTAAAGTTTTAGTTGACCAAGACATAAAGGGTTTACCATGTAAAACATGATACCTAAAGTATTAGTAGACCAGGATATTAAAAGGTTGATCATGTAAAACATGACATCTAAATCTTTAGTTGACCAGGATATTAAAAGGTTCATCATGTAATACTTGACACCTAAAGCTTTAGTTGACCAGGATATTAAAGGTTCATCATGTAATACTTGACACCTAAAGTTTTAGTTGACCAGGATATTAAAAGGTTCATCATGTAATACTTGACACCTAAAGCTTCATTTCGTCCACTTACAGATTTGTAGGTGATAGAAGAAACATGGATGAGTATGGTAACATGGGCTTGGGTAAAACATGACATCTAAAGTTTTAGTTGACCAAGACATAAAGGGTTTACCATGTAATACATGACACCTAAAGCTTCATTTCGTCCACTTACAGATTTGTAGGTGATAGAAAAAACATGGATGAGTATGGTAACATGGGCTTGGGTCCTGTAATTTCGTCATTTTTTACCTCTTCTCCTTGAACGGGGGCATTGTCCTCTTCTTCTAAAACAAAGTCATTAAAGAAATTCATGTGAAGGTTTATGATTAATATTGACGTAGTACCTGTAATCAAATTTTCCATATATTATAAACTTATATATATACACTCGTGGAGTTTACCTAACATTTGTAGTTTTTAGGATAACCAAAGGCACCATGTTGATTTCATTAACTCTCAATTGCACGCATTATTAGAATACGGTAGAAAAAATGGTTTTCTTTAAATTTCTTACATGAATACGTCGATATTGTGCACACACACACAAAAATGTTTTTATCTGTGAAATATATTTTTGTAAGTTATAAATGTGTACGTTACCTAAAAGTAACATTGTTTAATTGAGGAACCAAGAAAAATACTTCCATGGTTTATCGAGACTGTTGCCTGGGTGTAAGAGCGTTCAAGTACAGAATTGAGGCATTTTAAAACCAAAGATAGGTTTATTACCTGTATGTTACAATGTGCAATAGAGGGTTAACACATGGAGGTTAAGTTACAAATGTGCTATAGTGGGTTAACACATGGAGGTTAAGTTACAAATGTGCAATAAAGGGTTAACACATGGAGGTTAAGTTACAAATGTGCAATAAAGGGTTAACACATGGAGGTTAAGTTACAAATGTGCAATAAAGGGTTAACACATGGAGGTTACATTACAATGTGCAATAGAGGGTTAACAACTGAAGATGACCTTAGTAAGCTTTTCAAATTCTTTATGAACTATACAATTTCAGATAATCTTATTGGCTGAAGCCACATGTTGACGCAGGTCTGATTCTGCAAATGAACCTTTCACGTGGCGATTTTTTCTGACCAATTGTCCTGTCTTTCCGAGATCCAAAAACTATCTACCAAGAAGATGAAATATCCTAATTTACTAAGAGTTAAATACTGTCAAAAAGTAGGAATATCTTAGATTAATAAAAGTGAATTTTTGGTTCACTATAAAGGATATTACCATCTTCGGACAGATGGATGTTAATACTGTCAAGAAGTAGGAATATCTTAGATTAATAAAAGTGAATTTTTGGTTCACTATAAAGGATATTACCATCTTCGGACAGATGGATGTTAATACTGTCAAAAAGTAGGAATATCTTGGATTAATAAAAGTCAATTTTGGTTCACTATAAAGGATATTACCATCTTCGGAC